CAACCGAGCGATTCTGTGATTCTGTGTATGTATGTATATACACTTTTTTCTTAATGGCTTCAATGCTACCAATCCTAGCAGGTTTATAAAGATCTATATACACCACAAATAATATATTGCAATATATTTAAACAAAAAAAAGTAACTACAAGTATGTATGACTTATTATGTAAGTAGCTTCATTAAATGTCTATGACTAGCACTTCCCTAATTACTAAATATAACAAACACTGGGTGAAAGGCCAGCTAAGCAGTTCTTTTGAGTACTAGACCTGGGAACATAGGAAAAAGAAAAGAAAGTCCGATTGTTTTTTGCTAAATCTAACTTTCAGCTAATACAAGTCACCTCGAGGGCTTACCTAGACTCTTATTTATTTTTTTTTAAACTAACATTTAATCAGAAGGCTTGGTATTTGTACCAGAAGAACTCTATCCCAACCCTTCACCTTTTGTCAGAATGATCTAGTGAGCAGTCCCACAGGAGTCAAAAAGCCTCTGGTAACTTGGCTGTACTTGGGCAAGTCATAGGCACATGGGACCTGCTGTGGGGAAAAGAACTGCAAACAAATCAGTATTTATTCCTAGTAATGTTTATCACATGTAGTGCAACTGAGACAATTTTACAAATAAGAAATTAAAACACAGCAGGTCTGAGTTGTGTTATAAAACTAAGCACCGCAGATAAACACACCTCTGTGCAGCTGCAGTTTGAAATGAAGTGAGTTCTGTCATGGCCATAAGTGCCCGAGACAGCAACTGCAGGAGCAGGGGTTTGTCGGTGGCACAATTTACAGGTGTTGCATTTTCTGCCTGCACAGGCTGCTTTGTTTCAGGTCTGTTTCTGGAAGGAGCAGACTTGGACACCGAGCACAGCTGCCTTGCCAAAAGCAAGCCTGGGGTCCTGGTGGTGGAGTTACCCGTTCTGACGATCATCCCCACTGAAGCGCACAGGCTCAAACTCCAGGTACTGCTCCTCATTACCGTCCTCCTGTTCTCACATCCTAATAGCTGACAGTCTCTCCCTGCCTAGCGCCAGCGTTTTCTCACTCCCAGTAGTATATAAAGTATGCAGCTTAACACTCCTTAACAGCAGCCACCATTAAAATTTGTCTTTTCCAGGGGCAACACTCAAGGTGGTCAATATATTTGCTGCCTCTATGCCATTCAGGTGCTACGGAACCACCTTGGGGCAGTTTTATAATCCCACCCCTCTTTTCATTACTTCCCATTGCCAGTTAATGACATAGAGGTTTGCTTACATTTCTGGGTATGTTATTTAAGACTTATAACAACAACAACAAATTTCTGAAGACAGTCATCTCTCCTGGAGGCCCGTCTTGCTCCCAGTTTTGTGTACGCTTCAAGCACTACTCACTGTCCTTCTCTCCGCGCTCTTTTAGAACACCCTCCGGACACTCGTGTACACAGCCTCCCTGAGGAGGAACGCCATGGGTGCCGGCCTTGTTTTTGAAGCTGATCTTTACACTACAAAGCACATTTCCAACTGGGTCCTTCAAGGCGTTTGTCTCACACTGAACGCAGACTGACAGCCTGAAGCTGGCACTACTTTTTTCCCCCCACAGAATCCAACCCTTTGGGGGCAGAGGGGAATCAAACTAGGCAACGATTCACAACTTTGGTACGTTGGGCACACCCGACTTTAAATAGTACGATACAACCTAGCTCATACTGTTAATAAACACATTTGAAGAAAAAAGTGGTTTTCATAATTTGCATTTCCTGTTAGAAAGGCTCCAAGCTGCTCTGTGTATACAAAGGAGGTAATAAGTTGGTCTCACACACACAAAGACTAAGGTTTGCCTGTATGGTTGTAAGAAATGTTTTTAATTGCCCAAAGCATCATTTCTGCTGTGCTTGAAAGCGGTGCCTTCCATCATCCTTGAACAACAAGTGGCAGGGTAGATCAGTCACACAGTAGATCGCCATAAAAATATGGCAACAACAACCGAGAAAACCTGTTTAACGTAATACACTTGAAAATAGAAAACCACAGACCAACACACTTTCTTTAACCAACCATTTTCCAGAACATAGCTTTTCCTCATCCCTCCCCAGCATTCAGGAACCAAATCCTACCACACAACCGGCACAGCGTAACACCGCGGAGAACAGCAAGTGACCGAGTCGTGAGGGTGCTCAGTCCCCCTCGGCCTGGGAACGGCCCTGCGGGAAGGTGTCATGCTGCAGGGGACATTTAGCAGGACCACAGTTGGGAAAAAAGAACGGCTTTTGTCATCCTGCCAGTGCCTTTGTGGGAATGCTGACAGAGCGATCCAAGGCTCCAGAGGGAGACGCACCAGCACAGCTGCAGGAGAAGCTCAAGAGGGGCAGACTACAGCAGGAAGAGGGCAGGCAGGGATCCTTCACCAGCTCTCAGAGATTACGCGTTCCAAGTGTTTGAAGGCACATCATAAGCTTAGCAGCATTTGGGAGCCATTGTTTCTTGCTGGTCCTACTCAGAGGCTGCAGACAAGAGTGAAGCAGAGGTGAGCTGGAGGTGCTGATCAGAATTTAAAGAAAAAAAAAAATAAGGTCAAATCTGTGCTCCTTTCCCAAAATTACGTATTTTCACAGCTCTTAGTAGGCTTTTCTTTCCCAGGGAAAAAAAATAGTAAAAAAAAAAATTATTAAAAAATAATCATGCAGTCTAGCAGACATAGGGTCTCCCTGTTGCTTACTGGAAAGGAACAGGGGAACCAGGGCAAATGCAAGGCAAGTCCATTCCAATCCACAGGATAAAAATCAAGGATGCCAGGTTCTCCTCCTCTATGAACTGGTTACCTCAGTTAAATATAGAACTAAATACACACATTTTAGCGGGGTAGCTCAGGTTTCCAAGCTGGCAGAAGCCAGCACTGTCTGATGATGCCCAGAACAAGCCTCCAGTTTTCAGGAAACAAAAATAATCTCTTTACAAAAAAGTGCAGGTTAGAGCATAAAGATCCATTTCCACACTGGATAGCTGTCTTCTCCTGGAAAAGGTGCTCTGAGCCAGTGTAGAAGGGGCTACAAGTGCAGCGCACTGACTGACGTAAAGTGTGTAATGGAGCCATTCAATTAAAAAACTAAACAAACCAAACCAAAAAACCCCACAAACAATCCAGTGTTCACACTCCTTCTATGAGGGTCATTAACCCTTCCAGAGAGTGCCATCCCCCCCATTTTTATTTTGTTTTACTTAAACAAAGCCATAAACCAAAGTATTAAGACTAATCAAGCACTGCTCTCTGGGAATCTCAGGAGAGAAGCCATGGATACAATTTGCAATCAAGAGCATGTGCACGTGAAAGAAAAGCTGGCCTCAGGTCAGTTCAAAGTGTACACACACCTGCATTATTTCCAATGCTTTTGTGAGAAAGGCTTTGTGATGGTGGCGAGTGTGTGTGTGCGTAGGGAGTGCTCACGTACACAGTGCAGACAAAAGAACCACCGACAGTTCAAATGGTGACAGCCAATACAAACTGCTGCAGGTTTACAGTTGGGTTTGTTTTCACTGATATTAATAACGCAGCCTGCAGCCTGTGCCTTTGTCCACACGTGTAGTTACAATAAACAGAGCAGTGCTCAGAAGCAAGCAGTCAGGTACCCCTGATTTGGCCACAGCAGTGAGTAGTTAAATACCTTGCCATATGAACACAGTCATGGTGGGTTTTGGTAGAGGAGCATAATCTATTAATGATGTATCTGGAAGAAGTTTGGCATGCATGGGGCATCAAAAGAAACTTTACTGCAGGTGCTATTTCTCCTACAGGATCACAGTGCATAAACAGCAACAGAGTAGAGCATTTCAGTGGTTTTACTCAAACAGTTCTGTCTGTCCCTGAGTGCTTTCTGACCCCTTTGCTTCCATGGACCTGATCCACCGCCAGCGTTTCCACCTCCGGCTGAGGCTGGGCCGGCGTGACGTGGTGGATGCGATGCGCCACCCCAATGTGCGCCTTGTGCTGCTTCTCTCGGGCTGGGCTGTGCGATTCGCCAGATGCACGATCTGAAGCAATGGGTGGGATAACCAACGGCCTCTCCTTAATGAGATGCACGTCTGCCGTTTCCCTGGCCAACAGGAAGGGAGTGGGATCAGGCATGGCATCCACAGGCTCTCTCAGCAGCAGCTTCCGGCTCTCTGACCCTACTCTGTAGGCCTCTTCAAACTCGGGGTTGAGCGGTGTTGACAGACTCTTCTTCATCCTGCGCCGTGGAGTCTCCGGCAGTTTATCTTTGGGAGGGGACGGCTTGTAGTTGGACAACACGGGACTGCCAGAAGGGGTCCCCTCGGAAGTCCCACTTGAACTCATCAGCTTCTTCTTAGTAGCGTGCAGTTGAGAGGTTAAATAAGCAATAGTGCTCGCTCTCTGCTCTAGTTCACTTGACAACATATTGAGCTTATGGCTTTTCATTTTTAACTCTTCCAAATACTTCTTTTCTCTTTCTTTAATAGTGTTTTCCAGCACCATTATCATCGCATTCTTTTGTTCAAGTTCTTTCAATAATTCATTATTTTCCGCCTCTTTGGCTTTCAGCTGAGCTTCGAGATCTTCACACTTCCTTTTGAGTTCTTCACTTTTTGAACTACCATCTCCTAGAAGAACAGAAAAAGCAGACGTGTTTCAAGTTAACAATAACCACCAAGTAAAATAGCACAATAGCGTTCCTTTGGCCATCCCAAAGCCGTAAGAGAAATCCCAAAGACTAACTTCAGCTAAGACTCCTAGAATTACTTCATCTTCAGAAGCACCAGGACAGCTTTTAAGGAAATGATGAGAAGCTGGTGCCATGCATCATAGTTTAGTGTTGATACTATATAGAGAGGCTTCACGTATCTGGGGAACAAGGATCA